GGAAGGAGGGTGGAGGAGGGAGGGGAGGAGGGAAGAGTAGAACAAGGAGGAGAGGGATGGGGAGGAGAGGAAGGGGACATGGAGGAGGGTGGGGAGGAGGGCTGAGGAGAAGGCAGGAGGAGGAGAGCAAGAGGAAGAAGAGGGAGATGAGGAAGAGGAAGGGGAGCAGGGAGGCAAGGAAGAGAAAAGGAAGGAGGGGTGAGGAGGAGGAGGAAATGGGTATGAAAGACGAAGGAGGAGAGAAAGGAGAAGGAGGAAAGAGGTGGAGGGTGAGGAAAAGGAAAGGCTGGGGGTGGGGGAGGGTAAGGTGGAGGAGGGAAGAAAAAAATTCTAACTCATAGAGACCCTATAGGACAGAGTAGAACTGCCCCATGGAATTTCCAAGGAGCACCTGGTGGATTCGAACTGCCGACCTTTTGGTTAGCATCTGTAGCTCTTAACAACTGCGCCACCAGGGTTTCCAGGAGGAGGGAAGGGAGGAGGGAAATGAGGAGGGAGAGGGGCAGGAGAGAGAAGGCAGACAGGGAAGAGAGGAGAGGAGAGGAAGGGAGGGGAACTGGTGGGGAAGGAGGTAAGAACGGGGAGACAGGCTGGGGATGGGAGGAGAAAGAGCTACTTCTGGATTCAGCTGGAGTCTGAAAGTCTCCAGCCTTCCTCTGGGCTCCTCCCAAGCTGTCCCCGCCCACTCATTTCCCACAGGAATGCTATCTGCGAGTACCCTGTCCTGTGGGATGAATGTGCAGGGGCAGCTCCGCCAGGAACAACTTAAAGCTGCTGAAAGAACAGCTCAGAACAGCGTGGTTCCCCCAGAGCTGGGGTTCCAGCCCATGACCTCCATTTACCATGCAATCTTGGCAAGCCCACCCCTCTCTGAGCTCCAGGATTCTCATTTTTAAAGTGAGAAAGTTGGACTGGATGACGCCCTAAGTCTCCCTCCTGGGCTGTGCTTCTGGAATTTGGTCAACGTTTATAACCAGAACCAATATTTTCTGAGCACCCTATGCAATGAGAAACCCTTTGCCTTTGAGTCGATTCCAACTCATAGCGACCTTATAGGACAGAGTGGAACTGCCCCTAGGGTTTCCAAGGAGCAGCTGGTGGATTCGAACTGGCGACCTTTTGGTTAACAGACTAGCTCTTAATCACTATGCCACCAGGGGCTTAAAACTGAAATAAGGTGACTAGGGCCGGGGCTGGCCGAACTGGCATTTGAATTCAGCCTGTGCAGCCTTAAAGCTCACGTAACCTGCATGCTGTAAAGCCTCCCTAACCCAGAGGTGTACTGCAGGGATATGTGTCTCCCCTTCTTCTAGTTACAGAGCCCCAAAATGTTAGCTGCACACATGGCTGCCCAGAATCAAGGTTACATTTGCAGCTTCCCTGGCAGCTACATGTGGCCATTGATTACGTTCTGGCTGATGGGATGTGGAGGGAAGTGATATGTACAACCATCGGGTCATACCCTTAAAAAGAAGGGGCACACTTCCCTTTCCCCACTCCCCCTTCCTGCCGCTGCAATGTGCATTTCGTGATAAACCATCTTAGCAGGACCAGGACTAGAGAGAGGCCTCGTCATCCTCAGGACGTTGCCCTTATCCACGTGCTTCAAGATGAAGGGCCAAGACTGGCGTGAGGCGAGAGAGGTGACTAGGGTACAAAATTTAAGGAGACGCTCGCTCTTAGGGTTCCACAGTGCAGACCAAGAATGAATGCCTTGTTAAGTTTTACTTCCTAGGCACCTCACTCACTTCACCCTAGTCCTGGCCCTGCATCTCGGACCACATGGATAAGGGCAACATCCTGGGAATGGTAAAGTCCCGGATAACGTTGCAGAGCTTAGCCACTGTGCCAGCTCAACTGTTTACAATCCAAATAGTGGGGCAGAACTTGGGGAGGGGGAGGTGGTTATGGAGAGTAGCCTAAAAGACGACATTGGTCAGCATAGTTTGCAGTGTCTCAGCTACTTTCTCAGCAGGGGCTGAGGGGCCTGCTCTCCCCAAATGCACTCCAATCCAATCTCCATGCTACAGCTGGAGTAACCTTTCCAAAACAAGACACTTTCCACCGTTCTCAGAATAACACACAAGAATAACATCCAGAGCAGCAGCCTTTGATTGGCCTACAAAGTCCTGCCAGGCTGGTCCCTTCCGTCGGCCACAGTCCTCTCTCTTTCACCACTCTCTGTCCCTCGGCCACCCGGCCTCCCACAGATCCTTGAGAACCCCACCATGGCATGCTGTGTGGCTCTGCCTGGAACCTCCTTCCCTTTCCTCTCTTTGCCTCGTCATTTGCTCCTCATCCTTCAGATCTCAGCTGAAGTGTCATTTCCTCAGGGACATCTTCCCAGACCCTGTATTAGCTTCCTAGGACTGCCATAATGAAGTACCACAAACCAGGTGTCTTACAACAACAAAAATTTATTCTCTCCCAGTTCTGGAGGCTGGAAGTCCGCAATCAAGGTGTCGGCAGGGCCACACGCTGAAGACTCTAGAGGCAGATCCCTCCTCGCCTCTCTCCTGGCTTCTGGTACTCCCTAACTGCTGGCAACCCCTGGCATTTCTTGCCTTACAGTCACATCACTCCAATCTTGTCTCTGTTGTCATATGGCGTTCTCCCTGTGTGTCTGTGTCCAAAATTCCCCTCTTCTTATAAGCACAACAGTCATTTTGGATCAGGGCCCACCCTACTCCAGTATGACCTCATCTTCACTTAGTTACATCTGCAAAGACCCTATTTTCAATTAAGGTCACATTCACAGTTTCCGGGTGGACATGAATTTTAGGGGGCATTATTCAACCCAGTAAGCCCCTGACAGGTCTGTACCCTATCTTATATACACTCATATCACCCTGTACTCTTTCTTCATAGCACTTTTCCTTGGTTTGTGCAGTTAAATTGTTGTCATCGCTCCTTGAGACCGTGGGACACCAAGAGCTCCCCTTGAGCTCCATGGACATCAAGGCCATTTCTGTCTCATTAACCACGCCATCCCCAAGGCCTAGCACAGTGCCTGGCACCTGGTCTTGCTCAATAAATATTTGATGGATGAGTAAATGGAGCATTTCTTTGCACTGGGGCTGTGGCAGGAAAGTGGGCATATGGACGTGTCTAACACAGACAAGGGCAATATCAAGGTCAAGCTACCAAAGGCCAGATCCTCACCCAAGTTACGCCCTTGAATTCTGTCTGGTTTGGTTCTCAGTACGCTGGTTCCGAGGAAGTCAAAGAACACTACGAGGCTTGTCATGACCCTTCCTTCTGTTCCAGGCCTACAGTTTACTAACTACCTATCTGCTATGGGTAAGTCACCAACTCTCTGAGCCTCAGTTTTACTACATGTGAAATGGGGAAATTCAAGGATCTGCCCAATCTACCCCTTAAGGTTGCCATGATTCTCAAGATGAGATCATGTGAATGAATGTGGTAAGTTAAAAGTCTTTGTCATTCCCCCTACTGAGAAAAAACAAATCGCTGTTGATTCAGACTCATGGAGACCTTATGTGTGTCAGAGTTGAAACGTGCTCCGTAGGGTTTTCAATGGCGGATGTTTCAGAAGTATATCATCAGGCCTTTCTCCCAAGACGTGTCGGGGTGGACTTGAACCTCCGAACTTTCTGTTAGCAGCTGAGCACGTTAACCATTTGTACCGCCCAGGGACTCCCCCTACTGAGAAATGAGGTCTACTTCTTCACCTCTGAATCTTTGCTGGGCCGGTGGCTGCTTGAACCAATGCAATGTGGAGGAAGTGACTATACACCAGTCCCAGGCCTAACTTCAAGAAAACTGGCAGCTTCTACTTCCCCCCTTTTGAAACCCAGCCACCATGCAATGAAGAAGCCCAAGTGGACTTGTGGAGAGACCCACATAAAGGAGAAGTGAAACCCCCAGTGAACAGCCCAACTGAGCCTGCAGCTGACAGCCAGCACCGGGTGGCCTGCTATGTGAATGAGCTCTTGGAAGAGCCTCTAGCCCGGTGGAGCTGCCCATGAAGCCCTGCCAAAACTGCAGAACGGTGAGCAAATTAAAGAAGACTGTTGTTGTTTTAAACCACCTAATTGGGGGTGGTGGTGGAATAGGAGGTTATTACACAGCAATAGATAAACCAAAGCAACATTTTTTGGACTAGTATTATTTTTAGTTCTTGTGTGTATTTCCAACTCAGGGCAGTACTGCTCCCCTGGAGGTGTTCTAGAAATGTGAGGGGGCATATTTTGGTTTGTCACATGACCAGTTTTGGGGAGGGGGCACATTGTGCTACTGGCATTTAATGCCCCTGGAACCACGTGTATTAAATGTCATTTAATTCTTGAGGCAGTCACTGACAACAAAGAATTACCCCACACAAAGTCACAATAGTGCCCCCATGTGAAAAACCTGCCATCAAAAACTAAGGCCTGAGTGGAAAAGTTGTCTAAAGCTAAAGACGAAATAGAAATGTAAGGATTTGATATAAACTACTTTCTCAGCAAAGAACAATAGGGTCCATGTTGATGTCAACTTTACTTGCTTGGTGGTGGCTCCCTGGAGGATGTATTGTGAAGGATTTGGAGGATGCACCTGGAATCAGCAAGCAAAGAGTGCCACGATCAACTAGTGATGTCTGATTGGCAAGAGAAGGGAGAACGGTGGCCTTTCAGTAGAGTGACCATAGAATTCAGCCTCCAAACTAGAACATTTCGGGGAGCAAAAGGGGCACTAATAATAATTGCACTGGATGGTGCAAATGGTTGAGTGCTCGGCTGCTAACCAAAAGGTTGATGGTTCAAGTCTACCCAGAGGCACTTAGGAAGAAAGCCTTGGCAATCTACTTCCAGAAAACCAGCCATTGAAAATCCTATGGAGCACAGTTCTACTCAGACACACATGGGGTCGCCATGAGTCAGATTCGACTCGACAGCAAATGGTCAGTCATTAATAATTACACAACAGGCATAAACTGGGTCCGTCCCAATAAAACAGGACATATGGTCTCCATACTTCTATACCATGGATCTTACCCCTAGTATACCCAGATATGTAGCCTAGATGTAACCCCAACAGGGGCTACCCAGACCTACAACCCATGAGATTCTAAACGTTAATTTTTCTTTTAAGTACTCTTTTTCAGTGTGGTTAGGTATGAAGAATTGTACTAAAGAACGCATTAAAAATTAATTAAAAGAGTTTCCTCTAATATTTAATCTTACCAGCCATGTACTCTGAGTGATGTATTCCCAGTCAGCGTGTCAGGTCCTGAATAATTAAAAGAGAAGGGGAGTGTGATTCAGCCCCTTGACGAGGCCTTCCGGCGTTTGAGATTCAGCACAGAACCCAGGATGGTATCACCCAAGGAAAAGTTCTGCATCAGACGTGGGTTTCAGTCCAGTCGTGACGCATAATGTCAGCGTTACCCACGAGGGCAGATATAGTCCACGATAACGGTAGCCTCTGAGGGAGATAGGAGATTGGTTCTGCTGAGCCGCCAGCCCCCTGAGACATCCCCTCCTCGCCTCCGTCCCCCTGGGAAGGAGGAGGGGGAGGCGGTGGCGAATTATGGAAGCCTTCCCAGGGCTCCCCTACAAGTTTAGAGCTTCCATATTTCCTCACCTCTGAGACACGTGCTTCTTCATTTTGTAACATTTTGTAAATAAAGACGTGACTTAAAATCGATGGGGGGATTTAAGGAGGTATTTCTTTGGAGGTGTTATAAAACGATGGTTAAGAGCAAGGCTCTAGAGGCACACTCCAGCTGAACCCTGGCGCTGCCATTTGCTAACTGTGTGGGCATGGGCAAACTTGACCCCTGCGTATATGCCTCAGTATCGTTGTTGTGAGGTGCCGTAGAGTTGATCTCGACTCACAGCAGCCCCATGTGACAGAGCACAACTGCCCCACAGGGTGGTGTTAGCTGTAACCTTTATGGAAGCAGATCACCAGGTCTTTCTCCCTCAAAGCCACTGGGTGGTTTCAAACCACCAACCTTTCGGTTAGCAGCCGAGTGCTTAACTATTGCGCCATCAGGGCTCCTATTAATAATAGTACCCAACCGATAGTAAATGAAAGAGAGCATCAGTGTAGCGCCTGGCCAGTAGTCAGCTCTCCATACATGTCTTTTGTTTCTTCTTTGCATGCTGTTATTAAATGGCAGGTGCATCTAAACATTGGCAGCGTCTTCAGTGTATCTGCAGTTCTGTTGGGCTTGGAAACATTTTAAAGACAACTACTTCTGAGCTCACTCTTTGGTGACCACCTGCGAATTGATTACAGCCTATTTTTGGAGTTTTGGGTAGGGGAAGCTTCATCTCTGATGTTTCGTTAGCTGCTTTTAATTACGCCCCCAACTCATGGCAGCCCCATGCACACCAGAAGGAAATGCTGCCTGGTTCTGCACCATCCCCACGGTCGGTTGTAGATAGGACCTTTGTGATCCTTAGGGTTTTCACTGGCTGATTTTCAGAGTATATTGCCAGGCCTTTCTTCCTAGTCTACTGAAAACTGTTCAGCATCATAGCAACACAACAAGCCTCCACTGACCGACAAGTGGTGACTGCATATGAGGTGTATTGGATGACAGTCGAACCCGGGTCTCAGCAGGACTTTATTTGATATCATTTCTGTTCAGCTAAATGTAGGAAAAATGAAAATTCTCTATGAACAAGTCACTCCCGACTTCCAAGCCTCTTCCTCCCCATAATTTGATGTACTAAGCTCAGGGCCCTGGTGGTGCAGTGGTGAACAGCTATGACAAGCTATGACTGTTAACCAGAAAGGTAAGCAGTTCAAATCCACCAGCCGCTCTTTGGAAACCCTACGGGGAAGTTCTACTCTGCCGTATAGGGTCACGATGAGAAAGAATCCACTCGACAGCAGTGGCTTTGAAGCTCAAAGCAGGTCCCTGGGTGGCACAAACACGATTGAGCCAAAAGGTTGGAAGTTCGAAGCCACCCAGAGGCTCCTCGGGAGACAGGCCTGGCAATCTGCTTCTGAAAGGTCATAGCCACTGAAAACTCCACAGAGCAGTTCTACTCTGCACACATGGGGTCGCCATGAGTCAGAACCCACTCGACAGCAACTTACAACAAGCTCAGGACACAGTCTTTCTTTTCTTTTACACAGAGGAGTTCATCATTAGGGCAATGGAAAGGGGGCAAAAAAAGGAAGTGTAATTTTCACCTGGGCCCTTGCACACCAGATAAGGTAGGGGCCACCAACCATCCTGGCCACTGAGGACTATGGATGGCACTGCGAGACGATGAGAAGCACAAGCTTTGGATTCATGCAGCCCTGAGGACTCAGCTCCCCCTCACTTCCCCACTCTGTCATTTATGGCTGTTGGGATGATTTATTGAAATAATACTTGGAAGGTGCTTCAGACACAGCCAGCTTCATAGTAAACCCTCAGTAAATGTTACCTATTATTGTTGAAGCCCAGAAGTCACTCAGGCCCCTATTGGACAGAGTTGTTGGGGACAAATAACAGATCTACTCAGGCTTGCTTAAGCAGAAAAGAATCTGTTAGAGGGATGAAGTAACTTGCAGAATCCCTGGCAGAGCTATGGAAAGCCATTCTGAAGCCCTGCAGCCAGGAACAATGTCCAACCACTCTGTGGTGACTTTTTTGGGGACAACAATGCTGCTACTGCCACTGCTGTCAGCCCCTGTGACTTGCAGAACCAGGGCCAGGAGCTCCACCTTGGCAGTTCCTGAAGGGCCGAGATTCTTGGCCACCATGCTTGCCCGGAGATCAGGTTCCCTTCCTACAGTCACTTCCTCATGGTGCTCACTTCTTGAATGCAAGGTTCCCAGGATGCATCTAACTGGAAGAACTTAGGTCATGTTCCACTGTTGGAGATGCAAGGGAATCTAGCCATGCGACTCATGTTCTTTCTATCTCCAAAAGGCAGGACTCACTATGTGGGGAATGACTCAAACGTAGGGAGGGTATTCGTCGATGATGGGCAGCCACAAATGGCCAATGTCTGCTCCATGCTACACTGTCCCTTAGGATTTGGGTAAATTTGCCTTAGCCTACCTATATCCCAGCCTGTGTGATTCCAGGCCCCTCCTCATGATTTCAGGAGACTGCCTACCTTACTTCTCCACTCATATGTCCACTGCACCAGCTCAGTTGGAACTGTACATGACCTTGGCCCTGTCACTTGTTTCACAAGCAATTCTGTCATATGTGTGGATTTCATGGTTTAGTAATTTTCCAAAAGACTTGAGTCACTGGGAACCATCCTACAATCATCTTTCCCCTTGCCTCTGCCACCTTCCAAAAGCCCAGGCTTCCAACCCATGACCCACCTGCCACCAGTGGCCCCCTGGGAAGTAACAACCCAGACTTCTCCATTATTTTGTGGGGAGCAGTCCCACCCAGATAGCTGCCTTCCCCTGAATTCTGATTAATACCATCTTCTCCATCTTATAAGATTCCCTCATCATGGTATCGACATCACAATCTTCTCCCGGAAATACTGGATCCATTTTTGACAGCCTTAGTGGTCTTCTAAGTTTCCCTGTCTAGGACTAGCTACCGACCCATTTAGCTCGAAGATGCCAACATCTGACCTTCCATTTGTGCTCATATAAAGGTCGGAGCAGGAAAAGAAGGCAGGTACTATACGACTGGGTTTCATTCCATGCCTGGGTTTTCCCCAAAGCAGGCCCTAAGACAACACTTTGGATGCGAGTAGTTTGTTTAGGAAGTGATCCCAAGAAGCACCAGCAGGGGCGTAAGGAATGAGTTAGGGAAGGGAGGAGGCCAATAAAAGGTGAGTTAATTATCTGTCACTTTGTCGTACTGTGGTAGCTTGAGTGTCGCTGTGATGCCACCAGTATTTCCAATACCAGAAGGGTCACCCACAGTGGACAGGTTTCAGTGGAGCTTCCAGACTAAGACAGACTAGAAAGATAGGCCTGGCAATCTACTTCCAAAAATTAGCCAGTGAAAACCTTGTCGATCACAACAGAATATTGTCTAGTATAGTGCTGGAAGATGAGCCCCTAGGTTGGAAGGCACGACACAATAACTACAACAATGGATTCAAACATACCAACAATCATGAAGATGCCGCAGGACTGGGCAATGTTTCCTTCTGTTATACATAGGTCGCCGTGAGTTGGAGCCAGCTCAACAACACCTAACAACAACAAGTGGGTCACCACTGTGGGCAACTGGGGCTCAGTCCCAGCAGACACCCTCTGAGAGACTGTGTAGACCACACCTCAGAACTGCCTCTCCAGGGGCTGAGGAAGCTGGGGCATTTATTCACCAACACTCACGTCTCGTCAGTTGAAGGCAGCTCCTAGGAGCATTCTTTCTTGGGCACTTGCAGCCTGCTCTGTGCTGAGCTCCACTTGCTTCTGCATTCAGAGAAAACCTTTGGGCACAGAGACAAAGACATTTGAGGTACGAAGCCATGTTGCATACACCAAGCTGCAGGTGATCTCCGGGGTGATCTGGAAAAGACGGGCAGGGCACTGACAACATCTGCCACCATGCCAGGCGTCACATTAGGCACCCTATACATGTTGCTGTGTTACGTTATGTTCCATCAAGTCAATTCTGACTCATAGTGACTGTAGGACAGAGTAGAACTGCCCCCACAGGGTTTCCAAGGAGCAGCTGGTGGATTCGAACTGCCAGCTTTGGGTTAGCAGCCAAGCTTTTAATCACTGTACCACCAGGGCTCCCTATACACGTTATACCCTTTAATCCCAACCGCATCCTGTAAAGCAACTGTTAGTATCCCGGTTTCACAGATAGTAAATTGAGTCTATGCGAGGTAAAGTAACTAGCCCCATGACACCCAGCTCAGACGTTTCAGAGCTGGAAGCTGAATGCAATTCTGTGTTATTCTGAAGTCCCTCCATGAGCTTTCCTTTAAATAGCAGTGTCTACTGTAGCCTACCCTGGATTTAGGGAAGAGCAGATAAGTGCATAGTCTCCCAAGTCTGGCTACTCGCACCCGTACCCATACCCATACCACTGTTGTCGAGTTGATTCTGACTCATGGCGACCCCCTATGTTAGAGTAGAACTGCTCCATAGGGTTTTCTTGCTACAATCTTTACAGAAGCAGGCGTTTCTTCCGTGGTGCCCCTGGGTGGTTCGAACTGCCAACCTTTAGGTTAGCAGTTGAGTGCACAGCATTTGTGCCACCCGAGGCTGAGTCCAGCTACCCAAGTTCAAATCCCACCTCTATTGCTTACTACTTTGAGACTTTCAGCTCATTCCTCTTTGTGGCTTAGTTTCCCCACCTGGAAATTAGGAATCTGAATAGTACCAACACCACAGACTTACTGTGAGGATTAGTTAAGATCATATACGAAAAGACTTAGCGTAGTGCCTGACACATAGCAAGTGCACAGCCAGTGTGCACTGCGGTTATTATCATCACAGTAACATTTAATGCTCCCGAAGGCGAAACATCAGCACTTGAGCCTTTATGCAAAGCTCATATTTCCAGGCCACAATCCAGAATCATTTTGATCCTTGCCACAGCTGCCCATGAGTGATTCCAGGCAAGGACGTGATGGCTGCTGGGCAGGGTGGTGCCAGGCCTTCTCCCCTGTTCCTACGCACCCCCCCCCCCCCGCTACCCTCTCACCCTTCTGCCCCCTAGCTGGCCAACGCCCGGTTACTGGAGACTCAGAGAAACCAGCAGTGATAAAAACAGCAGCTCTTAACCTCCTGCCGGCGGCCTGTGGCTTTATCTCAGCCCCTCCCGCCTGGGCTGCTGGGGGCTCCAGGGGAGATGGGCAGATTAAGAGCAGCGTTTCCGACAAGCCCTCCCACCTCCTGCAAAGTGGGGCGGCCGCCAGCAGATTTCCGCAGAGCCCTGCGAGGCCGCCCGGAGGAATGCACGGCCTCCCTGGCATGGCAGACATTCAACGGAGCCCACAAAGGCGCTGTTATGAAAACCGTCTGGAGCTTGGGGGGTGGGGGGGGGGGTGGGTCCTGACTCCTGTCCCGCTCCTAGGCCCCACCGTCATTGGTTAATTTCTCAGCATCTTGGTTTTCACCTCCTTCTCCAGTTGGCAGGGGCAGTCACTCAGATATGGTATGGGGGGGGGGGGGGGGTGGAGAGCTTCATTTGCAATTGGGATGGCACGTTTCAAGAACGGGGAGCTCAGGGACAGAAGGCATGCATGGGAGCATACAAGGCTCATCGTTCATTCATTTCACCTCCTCCTGTTGAGAAACTATTGCAGGGGGGTGGGGTGAGGGGACCACTGGTTTGAACAGGTAGTTATTTCTCTGCCTGGGGCTCAGCCTGGCTGAGAACCAACATGTCAAACGTGAAAGCTGAAGGCCAGGTAGCTGTTGTGCAGGCTCCTGCCCCAGCCCGGACACAGCCAGCTTGGCGTTCCTGGGAGTGGCTTCCCAAAGTGGGCCTTCTCCTCCTCGGCCTGCGCGTTGTGTGGTCTCTTCTTTCTTGGACAGGATTGTCTTTTGACAGCTACAAACTAGAGATAGAGCTAAGGACTTCAACTTAGCTGCCGGGCACCTCCCAGCAACCCCTCACGTTCCTTGGCTTACTAGGCATGTGGTAAAGATATAGTGAGGAAAGCCCCCACTCTTCTCTCAAGCGGCTTACAGTGCAGTGAGGGGCAGGCTGAGCCAGCAGAAGGGGATGAAGTAGGCGTGTGCAATGCGCCCGGGATGCTGTGGGAGAACAGAAGAGGAAAACCCAACCCAGCCTGGTGGACTCAGGAAGCTTCCTGGAGGATGGGACACTCAAGTGGAAGCGTAAAGGATAAATAGCAGTTAGCAGCGTAGCTGGAGACGGTGTGGCACATTCTGGAATATTCTGGAAGGCGAGGTTGTGGGAGTGGGGTGGGATTCGAGTTAAAGAAGCAAATGAGGTTTAAAGAGTTAACTACAGAATTGAGTATCTGAATGGACACCTGCCTAAAACAATAAAGAGGAACAAATAGCCAAAAATAGTCGTGAGTAAATCTTACTTGAATAGAAAATACTTTTTAAGTGCTTTCTTTCATGCTATTGCTTAGTTATGCAAATAAATATTTACTGAACGTCAACTAGGTGCCAGAGCCTGTGCTAGTTACTGGTGATTCAAAGGTAATTCAGACATGGTCTTGTCCTCAAGGAGTTCACAGTCTGATCAAAACAGAAATAGCAGCTAAGGTTTACTGCACACTTAAGAGTCCCAAGCACTCCATGTGCTCCATCCCATTTAGTCCTCTGGAGGCTCTGTCTCCTGAGTAAGGGGTAAATGGAAGCTTCCGGCTGCATTTTCTCTTCAGTCACCCAGTCCCCTTGTCAAATGGTCTGGACTCCGCTCCACAGGTCTCCAGTGCTATGGGGGTTATGAGAGGGCTGACATGCAGGCATTAGAGAGAGAGGCAGAGAGACAGACAAAAAGAGGCGCAGACAGAGACATACACATAAAGATAAAAACAGAGACAGAGAGACGCTTGTAGAGACAGAGATGCAGACACAGAGGGAGAGAAAGAGAAACAAAGAGAGAGAGGGAGAGACAGGGAGAGACAGGGAAAAGAGACTATGGAGAGATAGAGAGAGGGAGAGAGAAGAGCAGGTAAATGCGGAGAGAGGGAGAGACAGAGACAGACAGGGAGGGAGACCAAGAGAGAGAAGAATGAAGGCAAGGCACAGGGTCATCCACATAGACAGATGGACAAAGAAACAGAGAGAGAGACTCCAAAAAGACTGAGAGTGGCAGCCAGACCAGGCCAGTGGTCCCCCAGCCAAGTTCTTTCCTAAGAAAACCAGGGCTCCGACCCGCCGGCTGAGGTCTGGTGGCTGCTCCAGCATGTTTGAGTCAGGGCCAAGCTGCGGTGAGAGGCGGCGCGGGCATTGAGAATGCCAGCCCAGCGGGGAAAGGCCCGCACCCCTCCCCCAGGTTCCCATCTAATTCTCCCCACCCAGCCCCACACACTGGCCCTGGTACTCATTGCAGGGACAGGCTGGTGTGCCTGAGCGTTAAGGTCACCGAGCATCCTCCAGGGCTGCCCTGAGACTGGTAACCCCCACTGTCCAACCAAGGAAGCAGGCCAAGAAGTCCGGCTCAAGAAGCAGGCTCCAAAGCTGCAGGATTTGGAGTCAGCTAACTGGCCATACCTGGAGGTCTAGTAGTTAAGAGCTCACCTGCTAACCAAAAGTTTGGCAGTTTGAGTCCACCAGCCACTCCTTGTCAACCCTCCGGGGCAGTTGTATTCTGTCCTGTAGGAATTGACTTGATGATAATGGGTTTGAGTTTTTGTTTTTGTTTTTTTGGTACCTGGCCAATCAACTGGAAGAGATCCACATTTATGCCTATTCCAAAGAAAGGTGATCTAACCAAATGCAGAAATTATCGAGCGGTATCGTTAATATCACAGGCAAGTGAAATTTTGCTGAAGATCATTCAAAAGAGGTTGCAGCAGTACATCCACAGGGAACTGCCAGAAATTCCAGCCAGATTCAGAAGGGGATGTGGAATGAAGGATATCATTGCTGATGTCAGAAGGATCATGGCTAAAGGCAGAGAATACTAGAAAGATGTTTACCTGTGTTTTATTGACTATGCAAAGGCATTCGACTGTGTGGATCATAACAAATTATGGATAACATTGCAAAGAATGAGAATTCCAGAAC